AAAGATAATTAAAATAAATAAATATATAAATGTCCAATGCCTCGGACTCACTTCTCCCCATCTTGGTTGTGCCTTGAAGCAATCTGTAGCCTTAATTTATAAATCCCAAAAAAGAGAGCACTCAGGAGGGCTTGAAGTCAATCAATTGTTCTTTGTTTTGTGCAGAATATACAGGTAAATGTGTCCAAATTTTTTTATATAAGACATATATACACTGCTCAAAAAAATAAAGGGAACACAAAAATAACACATCCTAGATCTGAATGAATTAAATATTCTTCTGAAATACTTTGTTCTTTACATAGTTGAATGTGCTGACAACAAAAATAAAAAAATGTAAATCAAATTTTTCAACCCATGGAGGTCTGGATTTGGATTCACACTCAAAATTAAAGTGGAAAAACACACTACAGGCTGATCCAACTTTGATGTAATGTCCTTAAAACACGTCAAAATGAGGCTCAGTAGTGTGTGTGGCTTCCACATGCCTGTATGACCTCCCTACAACGCCTGTGCATGCTCCTGATGAGGTGGCGGATGGTCTCCTGAGGGATCCCCTCCCAGACCTGGACTAAAGCATCTGCCAACTCCTGGACAGTCTGTGGTGCAACGTGACGTTGGTGGATGGAGTGAGACATGATGTCCCAGATGTGCTCAATTGGATTCAGGTCTGGGGAACAGGCGGGCCAGTCCATAGCATCAATGCCTTCGTCTTGCAGGAACTGCTGACACACTCCAGCCACATGAGGTCTAGCATTGTCTTGCATTAGGAGGAACCCAGGGCCAAGCGCACCAGCATATGGTCTAACAAGGGGTCTGAGGATCTCATCTCGGTACCTAATGGCAGTCAGGCTACCTCTGGCGAGCACATGGAGGGCTGTGCGGCCCCCCAAAGAAATGCCACCCCACACCATTACTGACCCACTGCCAAACCGGTCATGCTGGAGGATGTTGCAGGGAGCAGAACGTTCTCCATGGCGTCTCCAGACTCTGTCACGTCCCCCCCCCCCTTTTTAGTATTTAGGGCCCCCACCCGCCAGGGTGGGGGCCGGCTTCCTTCCCCCTATTGTTTTTTTTAGGGCCCCCACCCACCGCTCAGGGGTGGGGGCCGGGGGAAGACAGTAGGTTCCCCTATCAGTGAGTAATCTTTGACAACCCCCACCCCCGAGCGGCGGGTGGGGGGGTTGTCAAAGTTTACTCAATGATATGGAATAGGGGGCGGACCGAACATCGCATATGTTCGCCCGCCGTGGCGAACGCGAACAAGCGATGTTCGCCAGGAACTATTCGCCAGCGAACTGTTCGGGACATCTCTAATAATAATGTGTTGGCAGTCTCTTGCCTTTCTTTGGACTGATGTGTTAGTGTCCAAAAGACAACTGTTCTCGCTTTGCTGCTCAGTAAACAGGAAAAAGCTCTGTGGCATGTGTAAAGCCTCTTGGGAGCCATCCTCTTGCCCAGAGAGTAAGGGCCATCTTTTGGATAAACATGACTAATGGCTAAAGCTCTAGCCCCAGATCCTGAAAGTATCTGTTAGGATCTGTTTTGAAGTTATGTGTTTTTATTTAGGACATTCAGCTGATCCAAAGCTGATAGTTCCTTATCAGCGTGTATTAAAAAAAAGAACTTTCACATTCTAGACCAAGATAACCAAACTTGAAAACATAGTTGACTTGAAGATATTTTCCAATGTATCTAAATTTGCTGTACTTTGTCGTGAAACTTGAAAATGCTCTTTGAATTACCGGCAGTTAGTAATTTTAGTAAAAAAATAAATAAAAACGGTTTGTGGTTACCATGCCTTTCCCCATCTTATCTCCTTGTCTGTCCCGCACGATGTCTCTTCAGTTGCTTTTTGGGAAAGGGATTCCAGGGCAATTCAAACAGATCCACTACCTTCCATTGAAATTGAAAAGGAGACCCGAGAGGACCCTTTGAGTGATTACTGCCGTCCTTTCTCACATCTGCTTCCCAACGTTATCATTGTGCTGTATTTATATCCTATGAGCAGCACAATTTTGGACGAACTGAGTACCCAGATGCTAGTTTTTGTGTGACTAGACACCAGCCCTGGCCCCTGTTTCCAGTAAACTTCACAGGTCAAGTTTTGAAGAACATGAGGAAGTGATGTCAATCTGAGGATATCCACAGATAGCTCTCACTAAGAGCTAACTCCTGCCCAGATTTCACATGATCTGTGAGAGGTATGAGAAAGACAGTTTAACTAGACTGATAACCATTTCAGCACTGCAAGCAGGTCCCTTTTTTTTCCAGAACAGCACGTGTTAGATTGGGTATCAGCGATTAAGTATGTTCTATTGGTTACAGTCAATGGGTTATTCAATAGTTTCAGTTAACAAGAACAAAAATAAATATGAAGAACTGTTATTAACAGTTTATACAAAATATATTTGCAGTGCTAACTGTACATCTTTTGTTAATTACTAAGCAAGATTATGCTATACAATGGGTGGCAATTGGCTTCTCCTCTCCTTCTACTCCATATGTGGTGGGTAAGGCGGGGATAAACCAGATAGGAGATGTTCATACTCCTTCTTCCGGACCTTGCCAGCGGGTGGAGGGTAATATCATTTATAGGGCTGGGATATATCCCAATTATTTTAATTATTGACTAGAGGATGCAGATTCATCTATTTATAGCACAGCCTTCTCCTTCCCACACCCGTTGGGTTTTAAGGGTTGTTATACCCTGCCCCTGGTAAGAAACAAAATGGGAGAAAGATGCAGGTTTTAATAATCTAGCTCGTATTTAGAGATGCCGTATAAGTTAATTTTCTAATTTAAAATCTGTGCAACAGCTCCTTAAAGGGAACCTGTCATCTTTTTCTACTCTTAGTTAAAAGAAAGTATCACACATATATAGTCTCACTGTCTATCATTTGGTAATGCATACCTAACCCTCGTTATCTCTTTTGGGCTGATTTACCTTTCTCTGTGAAGGTAAGTAGCCATCTTTAGAGGGCTAATCCAAGCACCATGGCCATTCAGTGATTTGAAGTAGTCATGATGCCTGCACTAAGGATGTACAACGTTTCACTTTGAAATCCTGCATGTACGGAGTTTAACCCCTTAGGTGCCAGAGGTGTCACTAAAGCAGCATCACGGGGACGTCATTAGCAATCACGGAACACAAGTTTTGGACTGGCTAATGTAAATTCTGTGCACATTTTTTACACAGTGTGCCATTCACTGGCTGACAGCAGTCAGCTGACACTCTATGCCAATGAATGGAGACTGGATTGACTTCCAGCTTCAACACAGGAGCAAGGAGCCCCGTGGAGACCCGGGTGAAGGCACACCATTGCTTGCTGAGGTGTGTTAAGTGTAAGGAGCTGTTCCTCTTAAAGGGACACTGTAAGCACTGTATCTGCTTCATCTCATTAAACTGGTTATAGTGTCTGGAGTCCTCTGACACCATCATTTCTTTCAGCATTAAACAGTTTTTAATGTTGTAATGTTTTAATGCTAAACAAGAGTCCCCGGCAATCCATCCCCTCTGTGCTGCTTTGGCTAATAAGGAAGTATTAGCCTGAGCAGCAATAGGCAGCTGTGATTGGCTGAGAGTGTCAGCTGACTGCTTTTAGCCTGTCAAAGTTCCAACTGACGGTATGAATGTGTACGACAACAAGGAAGTGTGTAATCTCTGCCTTAGCTACACATACTGAAGGGGCCGGACTGTGGGTGGCCAGGGACTCTTATTTTGTGGCATACTGCACGAACATGGTGCAACACTGAATGGAGGGACAGTGCCAGGGCACTCCAGGCACTATAACCAATTCAAAGAGATGAAATGCTTATAGTGACTACAGTGTCCCTTTAATTGTAATTTACAAAAGTGCTGATTTCTATTTGAAACAGCAAAAACAAATGTGAGGAAGGCTGAACTTGATGGACGCAAGTCTCTTTTCAGCTATGTAATTATGCAACTATGTCAAATTGTCACTTTTATAACTAATGTCAGTAACATCTCTTTGGTTGTTGGCCAGACATCCGGTGAGGTTTTCTTCCGGGTTCCATTAGCTGCATGAAGCTAACGCAAGGCTTTCAGCCTGGAGAACACACAATTTGTTGCAAGCAAGTGGCTCAAAAGCAGAGGCTTCTCAATGAGTAGCCACTAATTGGTCATTTTCCATTGCTCTTCTTCTTGAGTAGTGTGTCTCCAGTGCCACCCTTCATAACCAAAGTAACCCTTCTGTCCCCCAGTACCTTTCTCTGTGAGCTTTCATTTTTCCATATTTATTTAAACATATTATTAAACTTTTCTTTTAGACGGGACAACCTTGCTGGGTTCTGTCCCGCACGAAAGTGCATTCAGCGCACGATGGTACTTCTACAGATCACTCATGAGTAATTGACGTCACGCACCACTGCATAGCAAGCTGCCCGGTGCGGCAGTGGGTCAGATGCCAAATTATCTGTATTTGAGGGGGACAGTCTGGTGTAGTGCAGGGATCGGGCCATAGGTTGCGGATCCCTGGTGTATGGCGACTGTGCCGGTAACATGCAGGGAGGGGTGACTAGGGCTGCATAAACAGAGTGATTAAATTCAAAAATAGCATCAAATTAAGCAGCGGGACTGCAGGGGCATGATTTACACACCAAAACCACTCCATTCAGCTAAATTTAGTTTTGCCGCGCGCAGTGTCCCTTTAAGTAAAAAAAAATTATTAAAAAAAATTCAAAATGGCCGCTCCTGCTGTCCCTCATCATCAACAAACACTCACACACACTCTGCACATCACCAAACAATACTGCTCTGAGCTCCCAGTGAATACCCAGCATGCATCTCACCCACCAGCCCTCAACCCTTAAAAAAAAAAAAAAAAAAAAAGCAGCGGCGCGTGCGCAACGGTCACCCTCCAAGCCCGCGGGAGCCGCGACGCACGTGCGCCCATTCCACGCACGCGCCGTGAGCGCGCGCGCCACCCGGGCGCCTGCGCACTGCTGACTCCCCTCACCACAGCTCCCCGCTGCGCATGCGCACCTCCGATTCTCTCTCTCTCTCTCCCCCCTCTTCTCCCCCCCCCTCCTCTCAACCGCTTTCTATTGTGGACCGTTCGGGGCGTCGTGTTTGGTCGCGCTGAGGGCCTGCGGCCAATGTCGGTTTCCTTGGTCCTCCGGGGCCGCTGACAGCCAGAGCGCCGGGCTCGGTGACGATGTGTGAGGGAGTGAGGCGGAGCAGCTGGGCCCCGGCTCCCTTTGTATGGTAGCGGCCTCGGTCACCTCACGGTAGAGGCCCTCACTCACCGCAGCCCGCCGGTTCCCTCACCGCCGAGCATGGAGCCCACCTTCCCGCCCAGTATGATCATGTTCAGCCACCTGCCGCCCGTCACCAGCTTCGCCCGCCTGGGCTCAGACCTGCTCCCCCCGCCGCCCCCGCCGCCAGCAGCCCCCTCCTCGCTGCCGGGCCCCGGAGACATGATCCTGAAGAAGGAGCCCTGCTCCCCGCCGCAGCCGGGGGACTTCCTGCACAGCCTGGCCGCCATCAAGCAGGAGAAGATGGGCGAGCACGAGCACTACCGCTTCTACGGCGGGGACCGACCGGCAGAGATCCTGGAGGTGACCGTGGGGGGGCCCGGGATCATGCCCGACCTGGGCCTCAGCCGAGAGGTGAGAGATAATAGAGAGGGGGGGGAATGGGGGGCTGATCAGACCGGGACAGGCCTGGTAAACAAACATCACCCCACAACACAACACACAACTGGGGGGGACATGGGCTTTACAGAGCCTCACCAGCTGGGAGCCACTTGGACTGGCTTTGTGGGGGTACCTAGCTAAACTACCCCAAGCTGGAGAGCCACAGAGCATTCACTGATTCAATTATTGTTTTATTATTATTATTTTTACAGCATGGGGGGTATGTTTGATAAATACAAAATGGAGGGAATGGGCAAGGCCACCTTTTTTTTAAAGGCCTTTGTGATCATCTGTGAGTCCATATGATGCGAGATAAAATGGCCCACTGTGAATGTATCTGCAATGACCTCTGCTTTTGTCTTTTTTAATTTTTTTTTGTTGGGCTGTGTGTGTATATATATTTTATTTTTTAAAAATATTTTTTTACACTTAAATATGCATGCACCTTTTTATGTATGTAACAATAGGTATGAGTGTATAGGAGGGACTTATTTTTTTTTTCTCTTCTTTTTGTATCAATATTTTCGAACGTTCCATTTGAATTTAAATAGATCACTTGAGTTTTGTTTCACATTTCTCCACACACTCACTGGGAAGGAATGAGCTAGTGGTTTTAATACAAATTAACAAAGTCCCCTAATGTGTTTTTCTTTTGTGTGTGTGTGTGTGTGTTTTTAACCTCTATAGGAACATTTTAAATTGACAAATTGCATTCTCTGTATGTAAGGAGGATTTATTTACTTTTTTAATATTTAAACTGTTTTAAGTTGATGTATGCAAACTTTATATGCTGCAATTAAATAAATGTATCTTTCCTAGAAAAATATTTTTATAAATGTGTCAAATACATTTAAAAAAAAAAAAAATATATATATATATATATATATATATAAAAATTTTTTACTGTTAAACTCATGATGTTCTAATATATTAATCTAATCTACTGAATATAATTAGTATTTGGGCCTATTCACTAAAACCAATAATTGTGAATATTCCACTTTTTTGTTTCCCCCAATTTGTGTCTTTTCAATTAGCATTCCCTTGATAATGATTCCTGCTTCAACCTCTTTGAGGCTCATTCACTAAACACCATTTTGTAGTGTGTTATATGACAAATTTGGAAATTGTAGGAAAACCATAGCCAAACTATGACAACAGCTGAGATTTTTTTTTTTTTCAAATGGGATCTTTTTGCATACATTTTACAGTTTTGTTTACAATTCACAAGAATTCTTTTGTTCAAAGAGCAAACACTGTTAGATAAAATAAATGGTCAGTTTAGAGCATCCTAACACTATGATGTTCCCAGCTGGAATTCAGTCATTAAAAAGGATATGCTGCAGCCATCTTAATGTTTGGCGCTTGTAGTAGACCTATTTTTAAATGTAATGTTGGCTACTCCTTTTCTACAATGTGTTTTTGGGTAGTATTTAAATCTGATGTAATATACTTAGAGATAAATATTAGATTTGAAAGGGCTCTATTGGTCTGTTTTATCTGAAGTTTTGCTTTTTTTGCTGTGTGATTTAGTCATGCCATACATTTGGCAGACACAACTTGCCTTAACACAAAAAACAGGTATGGTAGTCTGAGATTCTCCATTGTGGAATCTTCACTTATGGGATTAGTCGCTAGTGGGTTAGAATTTAAATGTCAACTATAGCTGAATTGGGAAAGTTAGTCATGGCTTGGCTCCCCCTCAAAAAAAAAAAAAAATTGCAGTTCTATTTTAACTTCACTACAATGTGATGTTTAATGAATAAAGATCTTGCTGATTTTCTCCATCTTAAGATAGGCTGACTTGCGATATGTAATCAGGTTTGAATGGCATTCCTATGACAGAGGAGGTGAGTGATTCACCCCATCCAGACTGTTATTCATACCGTGCCCCTGACTCATATTATTACCAATTACGTCTGGGCCATTTTTTTTCTTCTTATTGTGACTCACAATAGGTGATATTTATTTTATCGTCATACTGCAGGATCAGAGCAATCCTTTTATTTTGTATATGATTTCGGTATTCCCAGAATTCTTTGCTGAGCATGCAGATTAGTACAAACCAGAATTATACTGCAAACTCCATGCTGCATTTCTGCTCGCACACTTTGCAATGAAACACTTTTTGTACCAAAGAATGGGTTCTTGTTCAAAAGAACCAATGGCCTGAAGCTAATTATGACTGTCCCGATCAGTCCCCATAAACTAGAATGAGATGCTCCTGATTGGACGTCATCCTGTGTGGGAAGGTTCTGCATGTGACTGCAGACATACTTGCTAAGCAGTGCACCTTGGGACACTTTCATGGTAAGGATCTTTTATTTTTATTTTCATTATATAATATATAATCCACCCTAAACCTGCTGTAATGGCTTCAAACCTGACTACAAAATTGTATAAATGAGACATGTATAAACCACTTAATATTTTGTCTAATTTATTATGCCTTCAATACCCTGTGATGGCATTATTTTCATGTTGTATTCATATAGGTGTGTCTGTGTATATAATATTCTGGGTGGGCATATGCAATTAGTTATCATGCAAAAGGGTGATTCTTCGAGTTAAAGGGACACTCCAGGCACACAGACCACTTCTGCCCATTGGAGTGGTCTGTGTGCCAACTCCCATCACCCTTGACCCTTCAAGTGTAATTATTGCAGTTTTTATAAACTGCAATAATTACCCTGCAGGGTTAAGACCTCCTCTAGTGGCTATCAGACAACCACTAGAGGGACTTCCGGGTTCTTAAGACACGAAAAGTGTTTTAAACAACGCTGGACGTCCTCACGCTATGCATGAGGACCTCCAGCGTCACCGGAATCTCCATAGGAAAGAATTATTCAATGCTTTCCTATGGGGAGGTCTAATGTGCTCGTGCGCAGCCGTTGACACACATGCGCATTAGGTCTCCCACGTCGGCTGACGCCATGCCTTACCCAGCGCCTAGGGATATCGGTGCTGGATTCAGGTAAGTCACTGAAGGGGTTTTAATCCCTTCAGTAACATGGGATGGGGGGTAGGAGGGAGAGGGGCACTGCAGAATTTAGCAGTGCCTGGAAAAACGGGTTTGTTTTCCTGGCACTGGAGAGTCCCTTTAATTTGCATAAGCTCACCCAGAGTCCCTTGCAGAAGTAAAATCACTGCAAATTTGAGATTAATATGGGAAAAGAAAGTCTTATGATTAGCCTCCTGTGTGTTTAACAATGTACTGAGTGTGTTTGTATGTGTGTGTGTGTATATGTATGTATATAGATAGATATAGAGATATATATATATATATATATATATATATATATACACACGCACATACATACACTCAAGTAGACATATGCATACATTGATCAGCCACATTAAAATCACTCACAGCTGAAGTAAATTACATTGATTATATCATTACAATTGCACCTGTATAATTAGACAGCAAGTGAACAGTCAATCCTTGTATATAGGCAAGCGAAAAGATCTGAGTCATTTTGACAAGGGCCAAATAGTGATTGCTAGACAACTGTCAGAGCATCTCCTAAACAGCAAATCTTGTGGGATGTTCCAGGTATGCAGTGGTTACTACCTAGCAAAGGTGATGCAAGGAAGGATAACCAGGGTCATAGGTGCCCAAGGCACATTGATGCATGTGGGTAGTGATGATACAGAAGAGCTACGGAAGCTTAGATTGCTGAAAAACTTACTGCTAGCCATAATAGAAAGGTGTTGGAATACAGTGCATCGCAGTTTTCTCCATAGCTTTATATTGTCAAAGTGCCAATTATGACACTGTCCATTGCCAAAGCGCTTTCAATGGGGACATGAGCGTCAGAACTAAACCATGGCGCAATGGAATATTGTTGCCTGGTCTGACAAATCACATTTTATTTTCGATCAGGTGGATGGCTGTGTGCATCATTTTAACTATGGAAGAGTTGACAGCAGGATGAACTTTGGGAAGAAGGCTGGTTTAGACAGTGGTATGCTCTGAACAATGTTCTGCTGGGAAACCTTGGGTCCTGGTATACATGTGGATGTTACTTTGACATGTACCACCTACCTAGTGTTGCAGATCATGTACACCCCTTCATGGCAGTGGTGATCCCTTAGAGCAGTGGCCTCTTTCGGCACAATATTGTACCCTGCCACAATGCAAAGATTGTTCAGGGATGGTTTGAGGAACATAACAAATAGTTCAAGGTGTAGGAATTGGCCTCCAAATTCTCCAGATCTCAATTCGACTGAGTGTCTGTGGGATGTGCTGTAACAACAAATCCAATCCCTGAAGGCTCCATCTCGCATCTTGCAGGACCTAAAGAATCTGTTGCTAATGTCTTGGTGCCAGATATCACAGGACATGTTCAGGGATCTTGTGGAGTCCATGACTTGATGCATCAGTGCTGTTTTGGCTGCACAACGGGATCTACGTGATATTAGGCAGGTGATATAGTGTTGTGGCTGATCAGTGTATATTATTAGACACAATAACCTAATCTCAGAAGGGCTCCTGAGAACTTTAGTCATCGATACTGTAGTCCCTAACACACAGCATTTCATAGACTGTATTACCCTAAACACTGCAAGGTACACCTGTGATCCTTAGTCTATTCATCACCCCACCTATATCTTCAATAGTCTTTTTGCCAATTGATGTTAGATGTTTTTCTATTTTTGTGCTAAAATTTTATTTATAGTATTTAACATTTGAATCCAAGTGCTTGAAAGGCAAAGCCAAAGTTTATCGAGACTAAGGGCTTTTTTTAGGATGCAACTTGGCACTGCATATATTACAAGTTGGATTATATAAATAACATGGCTGCAGCTTAGTTCTGTCCATCAACATGCAGTTTGAAGAAAAAAAAAAAAAAAAATGTTTGCTTACTACAGAGAAAAAGTCTTTATCACAGAGGTCAACTGATCAACATCAGTGTGCAACTTACACAACTTTATTTCAGAATTTAAGGAGTAATACATTTGTTGAATTCTTGTTTCAAACCTTGCATGATGTTTCAGTAGTGTGAGTAGAATAGTATTGGATGGTGTCAAATGGTTCCTCCAAATCATGACCGTTTACTTTGCTTTTAGTCTATCTTGATATAATATTTCATTTCTCCAGCCAGACACAGAGCTGTGGACTGGGTGGAAAATAGATGTCCTAGCTAAAGCAGACCGAGAGAGTGGCGAGTTCTTCTGTTGTCTGATCTCCTCCTGTTCTTCCACCCGCATCCAAAATTAGTATTTCATATACTAAGACAAACTAGGGACTACTTCATATTTTCCCTACGCTTGACAAAGGGTAGCGATACCTTTTGTCAACTACTCAGCCCTTGGCGGAGGGGAATATGGCTTTGTCTATAGAGGGTTTCGCGGGATCTTCTGTTGACGTCTATATTGTACTCTTGTGTATGCACTAGAGTGCAAATATGAAAAATACCAGAATAGGCTGCAAACTAGGTGTAACGTGGTTGTGCTCTAAATGTTAAAAATATACACTAAACTTAAAGGACCACTCTAGGCACCCAGACCACTTCAGCTTAATGAAGTGGTCTGGGTGCCAGGTCCTTCTAGGGTTAACCCATTTTTTTTATAAACATAGCAGTTTCAGAGAAACTGCTATGTTTATGAATGGATTAAGCCTTCCCCTATTTCCTCTAGCGGCTGTCTCATTGACAGCCGCTAGAGGCGCTTGCGTGCTTCTCACTGTGATTTTCACAGTGAGAGCATAGCGTCCATAGGAAAGCATTGTAAATGCTTTCCTATGCGACTAACTGAATCTTGTAGCGCAGCTATTCAGCCCAGGAGGAGGAGGAGGAGGAGAGCTCCCCGCCCAGCGCTGGAAAAAGGTAAGTTTTAACCCCTTTCCCCTTTCCAGAGCCGGGCGGGAGGGGGTCCCTGAGGGTGGGGGCACCCTCAGGGCACTATAGTGCCAGGAAAACAAGTATGTTTTCCTGGCACTATAGTGGTCCTTTAAACACACAAAACGTCTAAAGCACTTCTGTATACTGAAATGCTTAAAGTATTAATTGCCTATCCCTTCCGGCTTATTTGATAAATCCCCTTGGTAACACCTCTCAGCTGTCAGGGAGCCAAAACTGTTACCTGCCTCACTCGCTTTGAATTGCACTTCGAAGCAGAAGTGAGTTCTTCTATAGGAAGCCTTTTTGACAGATCCCGGTGATGGCTGTGCATGCATCAGTTATCCCAGTGCTTCAGAGAAGGATTGGAGTTGCAGTGAGAAGATTCATCTGGTGCTACAGTAAAGCAGAGTTTAATTCATTTTAACACTTTCCTTGCTGTAATGGGTGCATCTTTTAAGGATCTTTTAATCTGAAGTACATTTGTTACTTAGTTTTTATTTATTTTTTGGGAGGGGGGTGTGGAAGGGGGGTAATTTATTTTTGATAATTACTCATTAAAAAGTAGGAACAGCTTTTGGCAAGGTTCATTTCAGCTGCCTAGCAAATTTAGCCACAATCCATTAATCAATCTCACAGAAGTGCAATCTGCAGACTTCATGAACAGAACATAATAGAAGAACCTGGATCTTGAGATCTGGTGCAAGGATTGAAAAACAAAGTATGTGTGTATCATATACAAAGAACATAACAGAATGCCACAATTAAAATAAAGTTTAGTGCTGCTTTAATTTCTGATATTCATTGTTTCTAAAACTGTTGTAGCTGAATTATTTATTTTAAAATTTTGCACCGTTGGCATTGCACAAACTGGTTTAGGGATAAACATTTTTCTCAGGTGCAATGCGTTTTGTGAATAATATGCTTGCACAGTTGTTCTCAACTTCTGCTAATGTATAGGTGTACTGGGACTGTACTTTTATAGCATTTAATCCATAGATATCTAAGAGTCGAAGAGAAGCTCGAGCATTCGTCTTTAAGCCGGTCATGCAATATCATGGCAGTAGTGCAATATTTTGTTAATTTTAACTGGCAAGATCACTTTAGTAGCAGGAGATTTTTTTTTTTGCCTTCCCAAATAGTGTCACTTGCCTCTCTCTCTTCGTGGATTTAGCTAAAGCTGGCTTTCCCCTTGTGCATTTAATATTTGAATTCTCCCCAAAGATGATCAGATTTATTACTGCTAATGTGGAAAGGGAAGTTCAACTTTTGCAATATTTATAAAGGGGGGCGTACCATGGTGGCTGGGGGGTCCAGGTAAGAGATACGTTTTAGAAAACATTAAAAAAGAAAATCAACAGTATGGCTCCTTACCATAGGGTGGTGTGCAGGAATCCTTGCACCACAACAGCTCATTATACCGGTAATGATCATTTTGGGATTCTTGGAGTGGTTTGACAAAAATGCATGCCAGCGCTACACAGTAAAACTAACAGATACTGTTATGGCAAATGTACATAAAATGGCTGCAGGTGAAGTTGGGAACTTATTTAATAGTTTTTGCATTTTATTGCTTGTGAATTAAATTTACAGCTAACAATCTGACAATGCCCGTTTGAACGTTGTTTGATCTGGCTTGCATGAGAGAATGCATCCTGCACTGTCATGTCTAAAATACTCAAGTATCAGACAAGTCTTTATCTAGTGGCAGTAAGAGAATGACACCCAACATCATGGAAACTTTTTTATTTATTTTTACTACAGGCTTTTTTAATGCAAACATGACTTTGTTTGTAAGCAGAGAATTCGTAATTTTGCTTTCATTCAAAATGAAATACTATGGGTCCAGGCACTCCTTGGTTCATGACAGGCACTTTAAAGAGTCAGTTTTTTTAAAGTGCCTGTCTTGAACCAAGGAGTGCCTGGACCCCTATTATTTTACTAATGTTTGGAAATATGGTGTTTGATTCCAGCTCAGCAAGCACCCTGGCTCAGATTTGTGGGAGTGAGTGCAGTTCCACATATACTATTCAAAATTAAATACTGCCATGTTGCCGAGTCAGAGAAACACAATTCGTAATGTAGCGGCTTCAAGGATTTATTGGCACTGCAAAACTTTGAAAAAAGACCAAATATACATTGGCAGTGCAGTAGACTTCCAAATCTCAGCATATTCATTTGTAACATAAATGTACCATTTCCCCTCCACCTGTATTTCATAGTGGACATGCTATCACTGAATTTCACTGTGCAAAGAAATTTGTAGCTGTGTTTTTAAACAGTGTCCTGTATCATTTTCCCAAATTTGATATTTTGGTGAATAAGAGTTTTAATGTTGACGTTTACATCCTTTTGTGATTTCATATATAGGTGTAGTTAACGGAATAGAACAGACTAAGTCATTCATATTCTAAACCTTAACCTCCAAATATCTTCTCACAGCTGTTAATAAGGACTGAAAAAAATGGCTACGATCCAAAACAGAGTCCATCCATGAAGAAGACCAGGAGGCCAAACTCAGAAGCTCAGGAAGCAAAATCCAAACGCAGGCGGAGTGACTCCTCTAAAGTAAGAGCCACATTGCGCTCGTGTGAGCTTCAAAGTTCACTTTCCTATAGTTTAACCTAGAGACTTGCTTGGCTTTCTGGACTGATCTTTAACCATGTTTAAAAGAACACTCCTACCCCCATAATGCTGTAACCTCATCTAAATTAACTTAAGTTATGGGGTGGAAGTGTCCCTTTGTTATTGATATAATCCAATGTTAATATTCCTGTAATCTTATGTAAGTTTTAATAAACTTCAAAGGTATACATTAAAGGATTACTTCAAGCACCATGACCACTTCAGTGAGTAGAAGTGGTCGTCGTGCAGGCACCGTCTGACGTTTCAGTATGATCTGCTGCACTTACAGAGAGGTATGCAATTTTCCTGGCTGGGGTGTACCTCCATTTTCAGGAGCGTCAATCGGCACGGAACAAGAGTTCTAGGCTGGCCAGTGTCTGTTTTGTGCCTATTCTAGGTACTGAAGGTCAGTTTTTGGCTGAACAGTGTAAGCTAATATTCTTGGCAACTGCCTAACACCATGTGGAATTGAAGCCCTCACTAAAGACTACCAATAAACTGTGTAAAAATTGGTGTGGGTCTTAAATTATAACCTTTATTAAATCTTAATAAAAATAAATCTCCAAAATTCCATATTCAGAAAACTTCTCTTTTTATCAATTGTCCAATATTACAAGTTGAAAGGTAAGGCCGAGGCCGGAAGGTAAGATCAAGCGATCTCCCCTGCAGGCCCATGCAGGGCAGTACCGGCCCCAAGATGGAGTTTTGTCCAATCAATGGCCGGTCAAGCTCGCGAGCTCAGAGATTATCAGAGCGTTGCCGGACCACCAGATATCTGCATGCTTCCTCTCTCCCCTGCAAAGTTATAAAATGTAGTAAATGGGAATTTTTTTTTTTTTTTTACATTTATTAAAATATTAATTTAAGCCCATATCTAATCTATATATATATATATATATATATATATATATACACACCTACTAGACACACTGCACCCCCTGTGTGGCAATGGTGGTGACATTACATTTCCCCTTTCTGGCCCCGCCCCTCCTAGTGGGCTGCGCTGCCTTTAATTGCCTGGGCTGACATTTTGTCCCAGTCCGGCCCTGACGAAGCCTATTATAAATACAGTCAGTCGTCATTGTCCATTGCTCATCTATATTATGTGAGACCTCGCACTTCATCCAGCATCTGTCAATAAAATCCTAAAGAGATTACTCACTGCATCTTATTGTAGTGTTGCAAAACTGTCCCTTCTTATTTGGATTTGCGTTCCCTAAATGAGTCCCCATTTTCTTGATTTTCATATAAATGTCTGGTGTCTAACCTCTACCCACTGAATCGATAGAGAATTCAGTTTGTCAGTTTTTTCACTTGCTGGCTCTGTGCTGTGTGGGCACAATCTGCCTGCCTCAATGTACTCACACACTGTGCACTAAGATCCTGCAAATGAAAGAGGCTTACTTGGAGAACAGTGCATGCTCACATATGCAATTAATTGGATGTGTGAATGGAGAAGCTATTATGTCATCAATGGTTTGGAGCCAGTTTGATTTATCTTTTTAAATTCTGTTTATAAAAAAAAAAAAAAAAAACAACCTACATTTATATCGCAAAGTGCTTTTGAGTTTAAAAAACTTGAAACCGGGGCAGCAAAACAACAACATGGCACTAGCATAATTCTCTGAGCAGAAACAAAAAAAACGAAAGGTAATGGGAACACAAAGTTCCCATTTAAATGAGTGGAAGACGGGTCGCCAGGTGTAGGAATTCCAAATCCAGTAATAAAACAAAATAAATAGAAATAACGCCACTGCAAGCGCTCAATATCCACAGTTGGTTTAATCGGCACACAAAAAAGGGAACAGACGGAGGGAAAGGTCACACCAAACACCCAACATGTAACCTCCTGTGGATTTTGAGTGCTTGCTGTTGAGTTGTTTCTATTTTTTATTTGTGCTTTTGAATTGATCCATGTTGTTGAAAACCTGGCAGCTAATTATCTTATTTAATTTTAATTTTTTTTCAGTCAAGGTAGAACATGTTCTCTGGTATTCATCCAGTCTGTTAAATATTTTGTCCCAATAGGGATATGCAATTTCAGATAATGTAAACCTGTGTTTGGATCAGCCTTCATATTGTAACATGCCTTAACATGCGTCAAGGCAGAATATAGAAGTAAATCTGCACAAACACTTGTTTCCTATAAGTTAAACCCACTTCATCCTTTTGAAAAGTAATTTAGGAAAAAAGTGGATTTTTTTGCCACTTAAAGCAGCTCTGTCACTTTGAGTATTTTATTCTTTATTAAATTCTCATATTGAAATTACAATGCAATCAAAAAGGTCTAAGACAAAATAGGGAGCCACGTTGTCTTATGGTCCAAGCCTAAATTGACAGAACTTGACAAATGGTGGAGCATCAGCCTTCATGTTTTGTCACTTGCCACAAGAATCCCTTTCACCTTATGTGAGTGAATAGTCTATCGTTAGTCTATGGATGGTCTCTCTTGGGTTTTCCCTCAGATCTGTGTTTTACTTTTGTGTTTGGGTGAGAGCACCACATTGGTAGATTAAGGAAGAGTTTAGGTGTCTATATTTAGCTTCAGCTTTTCCCCTTGGCTGCAGCAATACAAGCGGACATGTCACCCTTGGGTGTCTGTACAAAATATGCAAACATTCCTAAAGATGACATAAATGGGATCAAAACAATATCCAATAATTTTATATACACAAGTTTTATTTCTTTATGTAAATGTATAGTAAGTTTTGATCAGTAACGTATCCTGATACCGATTTTAAGTTTCTAACCTTTCAGTGTTTTAATGTTAGGCAATGCAATGAAAAGCTGCCTTGTGATAACAATATGTATGTTGTTTTAAGGTGAAACTAACAAGAATTCCTATTTAGAAGATGGGGAGGTTTCTCCCATTTTTGTTAATGGAAACCTATAACATGTAATAAAATTAATCCTCTATTTTGAGGGCCTTTCAATTGCTGGAAATCTCCAGAATCTGAGGTTTGTGAGACCTCGGCTAATCCTCACACTGCTCATACATCATTGCACTTTTTTTCTCTAATTTCTAATCTAAATACATTTGAAAGAAATAGGTTTGTGCTAATAAGTTCTTGGACTGAATTTGGTGTCCTGTTACTTTGTTAGTTTTTTATTAGAAGAATAGTTTATACTCGCCTTCCCAAAGGAATAACATTATTTGGTGGCTGGTGAAGGCATATTTACCCCACCCAGCTTATTTATATCACAGTAATTAAAATGTCCTATCACCAAAAAGTATTTCAATCAAATATATTTGCGTTTCTTATTGGGGGGGGGGGGGGGAGGAAAGAGGTGTGTGTGTGTGTGTATATATATATATATATATATATATATATAATATTTATATTTAAAGTGCTATTCTAAAGACAAAAAAACATGCAGATAAATAGGGTCAACCTAAGGCAAGTTTATATTTAATTTATGATCTCCAACATTGTATATATTTAATGTAGTTCATCCTTCCAAACGTTTGCGTCATCTCAAGATGCTTTGGCCTATGGACACTATATTTGTAGTATTTAAACCACCATGCAGGGGAAATGCAAATAAAAGCTAGTCATGCACACACGTTTCAGGATCAAACAGTTGTGGTGGCTATGATGTGCTGCTGTGGGTGGTCCATACCAGCTATATTAAAGGGACACTCAAAGCACTATAAACATTTCAGCCTGCTGTAGTGGTATGATGCTAGTATGCCCCCACACTTTCGAGTGATTTAAGACAAACCGTGGTGCCTCCAGGACAAAACCCAGACCAAAAACCAGCAGTCCATATTGATTAGACGTTCAGAGGCCAATTGGAACTTCACGAATAAACCCATGTATGCTTTAACTTAATTTAGTTTTTAGACCTCAATAACTATTTGTAAACAGTCAAGCTTTTTTTCTCTAGCCAATAAGCAGATCTTAGATAGGCAGACTAAATATAATTGTAAATCTTTGAAAGTTGTCTGTATTGAACTTGAATATTTTGTTTACAATGAGCAGATCTCACTCTTGTCTTCATTTGTTTCACAATAAGCAAAACAAATGTGGAAAGCTTATTATTAATTCTTGTATTGATGCCGAATGTTGGTTCTTCTTAGTACTTCCTATTATTTTTTTTATTTACTCATTTATTTATTTTTTGCATTACTAATGCTTGCAACGTACTAATGTTGTGTCTAATGTTACCTTTTTTTTCCTTCTAGTCTCTAGGTGGTGATTGTGAAGCTGCTAATTTATCTCCTAATCAGAAACCTCATATATGTGAACACTGCAATTCTGCTTTTAGGAGTTCCTATCATCTGCGTAGGCATGTGCTCATACATACAGGTATGTCAATATCTATCTGAAATCAGTGGTGTATCCTGGTTTTGTGCTGCCCTAGGCAGGACAAAACTCAGGCACCCCCCCCCCCGCGCCACCCCCACCCGCGCAACCGCCACCCAACCTTCCCCCCTGCTCCGCCTTCTAAATACACACACATTCACTGACAGATACGCATTCACTAGCTAACAGAAACACACAGTCACTAACAGACACACACTCACACACTCACTAACAGACACACACACTCACTAACAGACACACACACTCACTAACAGACACACACACTACAGACACACACACTAACAGACACACACACACTAACAGACACACACACACTAACAAGACACACACACACTAACAGACACACACACACTAACAGACACACACACACACTAACACACACACACTAACAGACACACACTAACAGACACACACCAAACAGACACACACTAACAGACACACACTAACAGACACACTAACAGACACACACACTAACATAAACACACTAACACTAACATACACACACTAACATACACACACTTACATACACATACTAACATACACACTAACAGACATCCACACACTCACTAGTGTTTTTATTTTTTATTTTTTATTTAACCCCCCCCCAGCCTCCTTACCTTTGGTAATGCTGGGGGGGGTTCTTCCTCTCCCTGGGGTCCAGTGGCTGCAGGGCGGGCGGCCGCCGAGGGAGCTCTTCCCCTGAGCGCTCTGCTCAGCTCCCTCGCCCGCCGCCAGCAGAGTGAGGCTGGGAGCCGGAATATGACGTCATCAACCCGGCTCCCAGCCTCACTCTGCTGGCGGCGCGCGAGGGAGCTGAGCAGAGCGCTCAGGGGAAGAGCTCCCTCGCCGGCCGGCCGCCTGCCCGCCCGCCCAGCGCTGCAGCCACTGCCGCCCAGAATGTCTGTTTAGCCGCGAGGCTAACAAGACATTTGCCTTGGGCATTTGGGGGGCGGCGTTTTGCCGCCCCCTGAAAAATGCCGCCCAAGGCAAATGCCTTGTTTGCCTCGCGGCTAATACGCCCCTGTCTCAAATCGTGTCTTTATATTCAGTAGTAAAACCTATGCAATCTTTAACACGAAAGCTTATAATGAGGTATAGTCTGCTTAAGAGTGAAAGAAGAGCTCTTCTTTATGGCAATGCTTTAACGGAGTCTATACATTGCATTTGTAAAAGTATAAATTAAAAATTGTATTTCCATCTAGTTTATATTTTTGTACACTAATGGATGCTCACGCACTCTACTGCACTTTGTCATCTTTTTATAAATGTGCTTGCTCCCATAATGCAGAGTGCATCATTTCGCTGACACGCTAATGATTTTACAATGTAAACATCTGAATAAAGCACATTTTATTGTTCAGTAACTGAACTTTGATGAGATCTGATACTTGCATATAGAAATAAAATGGAATTTCTGGATTTGCAAGCAATTTTACTTTAATGATTACATTTTGCATAGCAAGTGTCCTTCTGTTGGAGCAAAGCAAACTAAGTATCTTTAAAGAAAAACTCCAATCACCATAACCACTACAGCTCACTGTAGTGATTATGGTGCCAGGAATGTTCTGACAACTTCCCACAGTAAGATTTTAAACCGTTTTTAGTGTGGTTTGACAACATGATGGATCCTGTTGAGTGGCCACAACACCTGTATCTGGTTTTCTCCAGGTCTAGTGGGAGCAGTGTTTGAAGTACTCCTTTAAAATACCATTTAAGAGTTTCTAACTCCTATTTAGTTATGAGTTTATTGAATATCAAATGTAACAAAAGCAACATTTTTGTGCATGGCATTAGCCACATGCATTATTTAAAGTAACTAGCAAGTGGCAATATTTTTGTTTCAATGTAGAGAACAAAAGGAACTCTGATTCCATTTTTGCCGTGTTAAAGCATCTTCATTTAAATTATTTAGACATTAAAACAAGGTGTAAATAGTAGCAAATAGAACACCGCTTCCCTATTCAAAGAATCTGTTAAAACATTGCTCACCCGCTCTTACAGAAGTACTGGAAAAGTTTATTCCAAAACTGAAAGGTATTGTTTTATGGTATTCCATTTTTCATTGAAGTATGTTAACAGGTAACAAAAATAACCAGCTTTTCTTCAAGGCTTACATAGGCTAATGCACAGTATTATGCTTCACTGGTAAGATGGCCTTTTTTACAGCTCATTATGCTAAATCTTGGCAGTTGGCTGACCTCAAGTACAATTGACACAGCAACTGAAGCAAACAAACCTCAAGAAGTAAGGATCAGATTAACTAGAACATACTGAAAAAGAAACATCCAGCATTGGGATAAAAAAATCATGACATTTGAGAAAAAAAAAAGTATATTGAACACACACAAACTGCTTTAATGGGATTTTAAATCGAAGCACCATTGTGCTGTAGTGGTCATGTTACCAGCAGCCCCCTGTGCTGTCCCTTGATAAGACGTCAGACTGTTTTCAAAGTTTCAGCTAGCACTTTCAGCCAGTGCATAATGTCCAAATAGGGAGAAAAATTTTAGCATTGTCACAGAAGACTGGAAAGACCGGAGGTCCCAAAGATACCCAGGGAAAATTTTAGACCCTTTGAAAATGATTTGACTTCTTACTATTGGAGAGCTCAAGATAACTTCTGTTACCTTAGCCATTATAGTAGACCCCTGAAATAATTCTGTGTTAAGCAACTCACAAAGATGAAAATGGGTGCTGGGTGCTCCATTCGCCATTACCTTTGCAGTTATGTCTGGTGTTATGGTGCCTGGGGCAATATTAAAACTATGGGATTTGTACTAAATAAGCTTGGGATCTACATTCTGGTGAGAATGTTATACAGTATATCATAATTAGGCAACTTGCTTTCAATTCTTCACCGTGCTTTTGTAGAAACATAGAATGTGACGGCAGATAAGAACCATTCGGCCCATCTAGTCTGCCCAATTTTCTAAATAATTTCATTAGTCCCTGGCCTTATCTTATAGTTAGGCCTTATGCCTATCCCACGCATGCTTAAACTCCTTTACTGTGTTAACCTCTACCACTTCAGCTGGAAGGCTATTCCATGCTTCCACTACCCTCTCAGTAAAGTAATACTTTTGTAACTAGTTATTCTCAAGAGAGATTATTCTTTCTTTTTTTTTTTTATTATTATTATTAAATTGGATAGTGATAATTTATGCCTTTTTTGTAGTTTTTCATAATTTCAAGTCCACCAGGCACACCACTAGTGTTGTGAACAAACTTGGGAATATGGGGCCATGAAAAACAAAGGCCAGTTTATTTTCAGAGCTGGGATTTTTAGATTTAGTAGCAGAGCAGAGAACCATTTATTACAGACATTCTCACTTTAAAGGTTCAGCATTTTCTACCAAGCCATAAATTGCTTAGTCATGGATTAATCTGTGGCCGGGAATTTAATCCTCAAAGTAGCGCCAATAAAACTTTTTTGTGTTTTTTTTCTTCAAAATAGTTATTGCACCATAGTATACTTCGTTTGCACATTACATTGATACACTTTTGGCATTGTTAATTTACAACCTGTCATCGAATTTCACAACATGGCAAAACGTTTTTACATCAAAATCTATTTTCTCTTTTCCATCAGGTGAAAGACCTTTTCAATGCAGCCAGTGCAACATGAGTTTCATTCAGAAGTATTTGCTGCAACGGCACGAAAAAATTCACAGCGGTATGTATATATCATCATGATTACCATTTTGCTTATTAAATAACAGACAAAACAACTTTCCATTATTTGAGTTAAGAATGCTTAAGCCGTCATTTGTCTTCCTTCCAGTGGAAAAATGTGCCACACAGAGTCATAAAAATTTAACTTTTACCTTTTAATGGCTGTGTTAATTATAAGTGCTGCTCCACATACCCTGCTGAAAATAACTAAATATAACTTTGGGAGCATCATCTCCATTACTTTGAAATATGCAAATCGTTCACAGAAATTATTTAAAGCAGCATTCCTTGGCTGCTGAAAGGGACACTATAGGCACCTAGACCACTTTTTCTCATTGGTGTGGTCTGGGTGCAATGTAAAATATGCAGTGTTGAAGAAACTACAAGAGGCACTTCTTGGAGTCTCACAGAGGCTCTCCCATGGGGAACGCCTTATGCGCTCACCATGCATGCGCATCGATTCCCCCAAATCAGATTATGTCAGTGGACTCAGACCACGACCATGGAATCAGGTGAGTAAGTAAGGGTTATTTGAAGGGCTGTGGAACAAGTTAGTGTTTGGAATACGTCTTTGTTTTCCCTAACACTAAAGTGTTCCTTTAACCACACGTTTCTCGTAAAGAACATGCCTTTGAAAAGGGTCCTCTGACTGTTTCTCGTTTTGGAGCATATTTATTCAATTGTTTGCACAATCTGCTTCTGCAGTGCTGGTCTCTTCATACACTGATTGTAGCACAGCTGTCGTCTTTAAGGAAGTGAGAAGCACTTGTCTAAGTGCCTCCTATTTTCCTGAATGAGAAACATTAGCACAGGAGTGCTTTCATTGTAAAAAGTACAAATACAATTTAGTCTTTATCTTTCCTATTGGAAGAGGGAAATGTGTTGGTGTAGATAATCTGTGTTGTTTTCTTTGCATGTTTGGTTTTTAAATAACCAATGCCTCCTTTACTTGGATACACTGAGATTAACTTTAATCTTTGACGTGGTCTAGACATTTTAAGCAACATAAATTCTTAGTGAGTGTATATTTTCATTCTGTGTACATGATTGTCTAGTGGAATTCTCTTAATTGTAAATTATTTTATAGGGGAAAAGCCTTTTAACTGTGATCAGTGTAACATGAAGTTTATCCAGAAGTACCATATGGAGCGACACAAGCGAACACACAGTGGAGAAAAGCCATATAAATGTGATACATGTCAGCAGGTAAACAAATATTCTCCTTAACAGCCTTGGAACCATTCAATTAGAAAAATAATTGTGATCGAATTTGGCACATACGTTCTATAAGTAATTCACAAACAAAACCAGTCCCTTGTTTACATAACCAAAAAAACAAACACGAGTCCTGCGCATCCAGTATAGGTGTGCGCATCCAGGTGCTACCACAATTTATTTGAGGACAAAGTTAAAACCGCAAATGTTTCGAGCAGCAGCCGTTTCCCAATGCTAATGTCCTACAGTAAATGCAAGATAACAACAATATATACAAAAAATAGTGCTTACATAACCCAAAAGTGCCACCCCCAGGTAATCAAATCTAGAAGCAGGATCAGATGTGCAGTGCATTCCATCACTCTGGCATGTTTGATGATTCCAATCAGTTACTGGATCGTCAGAAATGTGCGTGATAAAGTCATCACATTCCAAAAAAAAAAATAACTTTTTTAAGTCTGGAAATAATAGCAAGACAGCAATTAAAGCTATCAAACAACACAAACATCAGCAAGTGGAGAAAAAACACTTCTGGTTACAACTACATGTCTGTTCATCCACCCGTTGTAAAGCGCTGCGGAATTTGACGGCGCTCTATAAATATCATAATAATAATGACCATCAAAGTAATCAAAGCAACATTCATTACTATAATAAATACTTGAGCACATATACATTCCTAAATCATTTTTATAAAAATAAAATTAAGTTTATGCTGCAATCTAAGACATATTTACATGTACAATATACATGTGGAGAGCAGTAATAACTTCACAGATTACCCAACCAGTGAAGTGTATAATACAGTATAGAAATAACCATTAAGTAGAAGAAAAAAAAAATATATATATATATGTGTGTGTGTATGTATGTATATATATACACACACACACACACACACCCTCTCTCTCTCTCTCTCTCTCTCTCTCTCTCTCTCTCTCTCTCTCTCTCTCTCACCCTCTCACCCTCTCACTATCTCTCTCTCTCTCTCTCTCTCTCTCTCACCCTCACCCTCTCACCCTCTCACCCTCTCACTATCTTGTGGGGGTGAAAAACAGAGTGCCATTCCAGATGTTGTAAGTAAGAGGGACTAACTGACTGGAGACATAGCAAGGTCATGCATTAGTAAGATACAAAAATTCTATACATACCCTGATCCAAGGAGCATCCCGGAGCAGGCACATAGAAGCCCTTTCCAATATTTGGTAGTGTAGTTGAGAGGCATTATGTCTATTTTCTTTAAAGTGTTGCGCAACTGGAGTATCAGAGGTGGGACTGCAAATTGCAGTTTTGTGCTGAGACACACGATCTTTTAAGGCCTACATAGCCAAGCCCGCACGGACACTTGAGAAAGTAAACAACAAAATCCGTTTGGCAAGTAAAAAACACTTTTAGTTTAATATGATGTCCTGTCCTAGGATGGGTACAAAGTTCCCCTTTAATTATCCCACTGCAATGATTGCAGCTCTAACAGGGGTATGTTCCATGAACAGGTTAGGAGATAAACGTCTGTTTCTTTGTGGTCAGAGAGTCAGCCCTAACTACTTATTTGCAAATAATGGTTTTCTTTTTAAAGGACCACTATAGTGCCCTGAGGATGCCCCCACCCTCAGGGTCCCCTTCCCACTGGGCTTGATGGAGAGGAAGGGGTTAAACTTCTTTCTCCAGTGCCGGGCGGGGAGCAAGAGCAAGAGCCGCGCGCGCTTTCAGCCAGTCTCATAGGAAAGCATTCACAATGCTTTCCTATGGACGCTGGCGTCTTCTCACTGTGAAAATCACAGTGCGAAGCACGCAAGCGCCTCTAGCGGCTGTCAAGAGACAGCCACTAGAGGCTGGATTAACCCTAACATAAACATAGCAGTTTCTATGAAACTGCTATGTTTATAGAAAAAAGGGTTAACCCTAGCTGGACCTGGCACCCAGACCACTTCATTAAGCTGAAGTGGTCTGGGTGCCTATAGTGGTCCTTTAAAGAGATGTGTTTGTCAGATTGCAATATAAACTAATTCCTCTGTATGATCTTTTGTGTTTGAGGTGTAGGTGGTGAAAAGGTACTTACAAATGGGATTCTATCCTGTTTGGGTCTGTCAGTCGTAGAGAGCATCTCTTTACGGTTCATTCCCAGAGCCTTGCGTTTGGCCTTTCGTAAGAGGCGGGGGTGATGCCCCTTATCCAGAATTTTTTATGAAAAGTCAGTCAGATGTTCATTCACTATGTTGTCATCACTAACAATTCGACGAACTCACAGGAACTGGCTGTATGGGATAGAACACATCTGCTTAGGAGCATGAAAACTATTCTTATGTAGCAAACTATTAGAATATGTAGGTTTAGTATATAAATCAGTGCACAGGGATCCATCATGCTTACCAACTAGTACATCCAAAAAACTAACAGCCACAGTGCTGGTAGTGGTAGTAAACCGGATGTCCCTTTGGCACTGATTTAAAAAGGCAAGAAAGGTATGAAGGTCAGTCTAGGGACCATGCCAGAGTAAAAAGCAGCCATCAATGTACCGTAACCACTTCCTGACATGCAAAATAAAAAGCTTGTGCTGGTAAACAAACCGTTCAAAATCAGTCATAAAGAGGTTTGCATACGAAGGAGCCATATTGGCCCCCATCGCGTTGCCTTTAACCTGTTCATAGACCCTAAGCGTGTTGCCTAGTTCCTATTAGACTGTTTCTATTCACAAACTAATGTCTTGCTCTCCCTTTAGCCTGCTCGGACATTGGGAGCAGCATCCTGGCTACTTGCAACGAGGGGACTATGGTCACTTGTCACTTTGAGATAAAATGGATAATCTTTGTTGCTGGAATATAATTTCTGCATTATAAATGTGGCTGTACAGGTTACTGAGATTTGAGTACTAGAGAACCCCTTTTTTTTTTTTTTGGTTTGTTTGTTGTTGTTTTTTTAATTGCTTTATCTAAGTGTGATAATTGAGTTCATTTGGGATGACATGAACAAATGGTTACATAATGCAGCCATAATAGTTGTTTGTATTATATAAATTATTTGGTTTTAATGTAAGCATGCAGTTTTTTTGTTTGTTTTTTATTTGTTAGGATGCAGGTTCCACCTCATCCACTGAGATGGATTACGTTTATACAAATATGCATGCGTGTCAAATAGCTTCAGTACATCATTCATAGGTTTTTATACACAGAGTTGCTTATACCGTTTATTTTCCCCTCAATTCATCATTGAGTTATCCTAACATGCTTTCTTATTGAAACACTGCTTAAATGGTTATTAGGTTGCTTAACTGCATCCTATGGTTTGGCATGAGCAGCTTTATAACCCTAGCATCAATAATTGAGTGAATTTTTTTTTTTTTTTATTTTTTTTTTAATACTCAATATTGTCATTAAAAATAGGCAGTGTAAACAATGGCATGGGCCACAATAGAAAAGAGCTATGCGAACGGCATACCCATATCAGCATTGGCCTGGCTGCCACAACCCCAAACACTAAAAAACGCTGAATTGCTGTACACAACCACGCTTACCCTCTCTATATGGGACAGCTACCGGAAACGTATATGCAACACTAATCAAACTTCCCCATCCCTCTCACTGGAATCACTGAAACTCCTCATCCCTGATTTCAACTACAAATTCTGGCAGAGATACGGAATAAAAACGATATCACAACTAATGCATGGCTCCCACCTGAAACAACTCTCAGATCTAAGACTAGAATTCGCACTGCCCACGACAGCTACATTCTCCTACATGTAATTACAATCCTGGTTCGACCTACAACCAAAACCCCCCACTAAAGCTGACCCACGCTGGCAAACCATAGAACAAATCTGCATAACAAGCAAACCAGCCAAAAAACTCATATCCACGATCTATACATCGGAGCACAGCCAACTCAAACAGCAACACCCCTCCTTCATATCAGCGTGGGAAAAGACATCGGATACCCCATCTCTGAGGCCCAATGGCAAACCATCTTCAAGGCACATAAACAATCTCTGTACGACCCACCTGGAACTAACCTGGAAAATATTATATAGATGCTATAATGGTCCCTACACACCTTAAACATAGCTTCCCCACCACGTCCAATATCTGCTGGAGATGCCAAAAAGACAGAGGCACCATGATACATATATGGTGGCAATGCCCGGAGCTCCAACAGTACTGGCAACAAGTAGCAAACCTAACCACCAAATGCACTAACATGCAACTACCCTTCGGGCCCGAGACCTTCCTGCTCCTCATGCTGCCTTATACACCACAAAAACACCAGAGATCCCTTGCCTACCACATCCTCATCGCCGCACTTACCATCATTAGCAGGAAATGGAAGCAAACCTCCCCCCCCTCCCAAATTATCCAGTGTGTCACCGCTCTGGACACATAAGATCTACGAAACCATGGCACGAAGCACGCAACAAGCAACCCCATTCTGGTCCATGGCATGGGACCTCTGGGGAAAACCACAAACCAAACCAATCCAGAGGTGAAACTTAAACACGCACCACAGACCTATACCATTGACCTCCATGAGGCAACTACCTTTCTACCCCCTAATGCTCAAACCAACACAAGATTACGCCCAATACCCAACTACAATGACATTAGCCTTTTCTGTTGAAGTTCTCACACCCTCCCTCCTCCCCATCCCCCTCCCTACCCTGTCGAGACTTGACAACCACACGAAACACTACCCATGAGCCAAAACCCCAAGATCACCTTCTAACGCGAGATACATAGAGAGCTGACACACAGCATCCTGCTACATACATCCAAATGCCAAATCTAGAGTTATGTGTTTAATGTAACCGATGCACCACAACAAATGTCTCCGTTCAAGATGCTGCTAAACTATTGAACCAAAGCAGGTCTCCCCTTCTCCCCTCGTTTTTCTTCTGTACCCTCACCCCACACACACGGGTACTAAAGCCGCAACGAATTGCAATTTCCCCCCTCCCCTTTCTCTTCTGTACCCCGATGTTTTAAGTTTTAAAGCTGACAAAAATAATTGTCAAATTTCAAAAAAAAAAAAAAAGGAGCAGTACATATGCCAACAGAAGAGTGTTACATTGTCAGGTCATCATAAACAAAAGTCTTAAAATCAAAATCAGATTTATAATACATATCTTATTAAGAGAATTTTTAGAGGAAGAGATTACACCCCCTGGTATTGGAATTATCCCTCAAATCTGTGCCTCCTGATACATGATTTGAAGAGATTTGCATAAAGGGTTTCGGACTATCTTATGAACGTGCTGGATACTAGGGCAGCGATTAGTTAAAGGGCCTCTCCAGTGCCAGGAAAACATATTAGTTTTCCTTGCACTGCAGTGTTCCTCTCCCTCCCGCCCCCATCCCATGTTGCTGAAGGGGTTAAAGCCCCTTCAGTGACTTACCAGAGTCCAGCGCCGATGCCCCTCGGCCCTGGTTCAGGCTCCGCCGACTCTCCTCCCCCAGCAAGGGAGACCTAATGCGCATTTGCAGCAATGGCCACGCACGCGCATTAGTCGTCCCCATAAGAAAGCATTATTTAATGCTTATCTATGGGGATTTTGGAGACGCTGGAGGTCCTAGAGGAACATGGAAGTCTCTCTAGTAGCTGTCTGATAGAGGAGGACTTAACCCTGCAAAGTAATTATTGCAGTTTATAAAAACTGAAATAATTAAATTTGCAGGGTTAAGGGTGGTGAGAGTTGGCACCTAGACCACTCCAGTGGGCAAAAGTTGTCTGGGTGCTTGGAGTGTCTCTTTAAGAATGGTCAGACCTTCCTCTCCTCGTTGTAGTTCCCTCCAGCAAGTCAGTGTGAAAAATGGCTAATATACTAGAATAATCTGCAGAAAATGCTAAACTCTGAGATTTTAAGTGTTTTTTTTTTTTCTCTTTCTCTAAACAGTTCTTCTCAAGAACGGATAGGCTGCTGAAGCACAAAAGAACATGTGGTGAATCTATCAACAAAGGATTGATGGAGCCTGGGTCTTCAAACCCTAATATGGATAATTTGTCGGGTAACTTTGATTTATCTCGGGGAAACTCCAATTTTTCTGGGCGTAAGAAAGGCAAGTCTAGAAATGGCTCAGCACACAAGGACCAGAAGCCTGGGAACAAACATAATGAGCCTAACATGGCATCCAGTCTCAACATGCAGAATTACTCGGTGGACCTTCCACTTGTGTCTTCCCTCGGCGGTTCATCTGATGCTGGTATGGATGACTTGGACACCAAGGTGCCAAAATTGGTTTTTAAGAAGGTAAACCGGAAGCATGCAGATAAAAATGATCTGTCTCTAGATCATCAATCCAACATGGGAATGCAGAAGCTATCGGAGAAGACAAATAGCTCTCTTGATATGGTGGGAAGTACTAATGTAGACACAATGAGCCTCCTTCAGAGCTCAGGTAACAAAGGTCATAACAGTAGCAATTACGATGATGCCATGCAGTTCCTGAAGAAAAGAAGATATTTACAGGCTGCTAACAGCAACAATGCTTATGCAGTCAATGTAGGGCACATGGTGACACAACAGTCTGTCATTCAGTCAGCGGTCTCCAGTGTTATGGATGGGGAGAACCCATTGACTCTTATAGATTCCCAGTCACTGAATGTCGATTTAAAGAACTGTCATGACAAAACGGTCATTCCGGACGAGGTCCTCCAAAGTATCTTGGATCACTACACTCATAAATCAGTGGTTCATCCTGATGTTCCTTTTAACCTTTCTGACCACCATATAGAGATGCATACAGCAGGAGACGGCAATGATCTAGTGCAAGAGGAAAACGTCTGCTCAGACTCTCAATCTACGTCAGGCGATAAAACCAATATGTTCCAGGAGTACTCGAAGTACCTACAGCAAGCTTTGGAAAGAACAAGCCATACATCAACTTTCCCACTGGGACCCAGTTTTCAGTTTGTAAGCCTTTCTTCATCTCTCACGAACCCTTCTTTTTTCTCTGAGAAACAAATTTACACTACATCTCCTCTTGAGTGTGGATTTAATCAGTCTTTAAGTTCAGTATTGCCTTCCACTATGCCAAAGTCACATTTTGGCATGGTATTAGGCCCCCAAACAGGCTTTTCATTGTCCTTGGAGGCAACACATCAGCAGCTGACTCCATCTCAAGAGCTGACTGACCAAATTGACCCACAAAAGACCTTAGACTCCTCCAACTACCAGATATCATCTCAGGAATTGAACGGGCAGAAAGATCAGCAAAAGAACCTAGAATCTTCAGGCTTTCACCTTCAACCTCAGGAGTTGGCCAATCAGTTGGAACAGCAAAAAGACAGCAGACCACAACAGATAGAGAACTTTGCACAAGCATTTGGTTCTCAGTTCAAATCTGGCAACAGGGTGCCAATTTCATTTAACACTACCACTGACGGGGGGGTGGATCACAGGTTAAGGACTTCAACATCAGATTTCTCAGGTTTCTCCAATTTGCTATCTGATGTTAGTGAAGCAGGTAGCACAAGAGTCAAGACTTCAACTAGTCAAAGTTTCAGGTGAGGCTATGAGTTTATCCAGGCTTCAGAAGTTGAGGAGGAAAAAAATAACATGGTGTATTTTTATTTTGAGAACACTGCCAATAGAATGTTACTACACAATCGTAATAAGAGTAATGTAACCTATGCCCTGTCAATGCAAAGTTTTTTTGTGGGGTGGGGGGGTCTTTTATTTTGGGGTTGGGTTTCCATTATAAAAATGTGCTGTGATAGTTCAGCTTGTATGTAATTTTAGTCAAATTAGCGATTAGTAAATGGGACAAGGTTTGCCAAAGCATTTATTTTGGAGACCTGTTAAACAATCTTTTTATGATAAGCGGAAGGTTGGGATAACAAGAAATTCGTGATTTATCAAAAGGAAAAAAAAGTTATTTAAAAAGTGGCATACACATTTTAGGACTCAGGAAGGGGCTTTATTGCTGAGGGCAGAGTGAAAGAGTGACCATTTAACAGGGAGTAATTTTCACCTCCCTTACCCCCCCCGCTCCCCCCCCCACTCCAAGTTTTCTTGGATGACTACATACCCTCTTAGTAGGTCACGCCTGTAGGCTATATTAAATTAGTTCAGTGATTATGTTTCTCGGCAATAGCTTTAAATTAACAAACTATCAAGACTTTTTTTTTTTTTTTTCGTCTGTGCGTACAGTTTTTCTTTGATATACCTCATTTTTATTGTTCATGCAACTTTCAGGAACATGTCTTTCTCAATATTGTTTCATTACAATAAAAGAAACCATTGTGTTAAAATTGTTTTATAGAATTGTCTACAATCTTATATAAAATATCCACAGATCATTTGACTATGTGCATTAGAGAAAGTATTACTTTTATTGCATTTGGGCTAGACAAACATATTATGTTTGCCCAATCTCCCTAGTGTAGGAAGATTTTTAGAATATTTATATTTGCATCATGTCCAAGGCGGGGAGGGCGGGGGGAAGCAGCATCTTTCTTAAACAGTGTTCATTGAAACCCAACATTTGACTTTTTTTTTTTTTTTTCCTTCTCTCAAATTCTTAGGAAAAATGATGTTAAATGTGTGTTCTATAATGTTAAGTAGCCTTACACTATATTGGAACACAAACATTGCATCACTAGTGCGAAATGTGTTAGGATTTGCCCCCCCCTCCCTCAATTACGTAAACTCTAAATTTCTTCCCAGCAGAGGGAATCTGTCATGGAAAATATGTTTAAAAGTGTGTGATCGTATAGTTTAGTGTTAGAACACATAAATACCAGGTTTGTATTTTTCTAATCTGATAATGCTGCTTTTTATGAGGATTATTTGTAATTCTAATTTGTTTGTTTTTTTGGAAAGTGCTATTCTTATGGGCTTTTCGCAATGGCCTCATTTGGTAGGGCGGTATATCTTCAAATTCCTGAAGAACATAATTTGTGAACTCTTGTAGCATAGCAGAAGCAATACTTTTCAGAGTTCTATTGGGGAGATTTTAAAATGGTTTTTATTTGAATGATAGTCATTTAAAAGTATTGAACGCAAATTATGTTAAATGTTAAGTTACGCTACTCTGCTAAATACTATGTTTTATGGTAAATCTGAACATATTTTATGATGGATTCCCTTTTAAAGCATCCTTTACTGTACAAGTTAGTGTCATAAGCCAGCATAATAGATGGTTAATATTTTTCTCTATATTAAACGGTTGATTTCAGTTTATCTGGCATCTGCGAAATTTGTAGAAAAAAATGGCATTACCTAATTGACTAGTTACTTTTAAAACAAAGTGTCATTTTCGTTTTCTCACCTTTTGTTTAAACTCTTTAAATTGCCATTCTGAAGGTAGTTATTTATTTTTATTTATTTTTTTTGATTTATTGGACTGGATAAGTACACTCTTTCCCTGAATCTAAAATGGCTCAGACTTGATTGGTCAATTAGATGAGCATTTGAGAGCTTAAGGTAAAGCAATCTCTTTTGTTTAATGCATTCTGTCCAGAAAAAACTATCAGCATTTTTGTTTAGCTTTTTTCCCCCCCACAAAATGTTTATATGTATGTTCTAACTTTCTATCTATTCAAGCAGAGGAACAATTTTTGGGGGGGCTTCTTCTTTGCCCATCCATGTTCTACTTTTCAGTTCCTATATACAGAGCTTTTGTTCTTTACCCCAGTGTAAGGGACCCCAGTGACATAAATAGGTAGGAGCTCTGCCACTGTAGTGAAGACCCCTGTGACATTTGAAGTCTAATCAGATTATTTAGCATAAATATTTTGTCATATATTGCATAGCCGTTTAAAATTATCTGAAGAATATTGTAGTGGGTCCCCAGCTTTATGCTGTGTAGGTATTTGGATCCCTGTCAAGTTAAGAACCACTTTGGGTGGGTAAAGGGGAGTGGGGGATTTTGATTGACTAGTCAAAAATTGCTTTATATAAATTTTGGAGTGGAACAGTCACCAAGAGCCAACCATAGAAAATAAAACACATGACAGATCTAAATATCTCACACTATACATATGCGATCACTTTAACTTTACCATTAACTGTTCATTTAAGCTATGTCTGTTTTTTTTTTTAAATCAGTTTTGTTATTACAGTGACCAGCAAGTGTTTGCACAAACGCCACTTTTGCTCGACTTATCTGGTGAGGACAGGGTATGAGGTAAATTGTAAAATGTTACATTTTGAGTGTTGGCTTTGTAAGAACAAAACTGACTTTGCTATATTTATAAAACATTTATTGTGGCTTTTCGATACTAAGTGACAATATGATGTCATTTTACACCTATGCAGGAATTAGATTTTCTGTTTCCAAGGTTCGGTACCTTTTACCTTTTTTTTTTTTTTTCTTCATATTTTTTTTATATATATATATATATATATATATATATATGTATATATATATATATAACAAAATTATCCCAACACTCCAGTGTGTTAAACCATATCACTTAGTCATTGGAAGAAATATAGCTTGTGAAATTCTATATTTCTTATATAACCTATAGAAATTTAAAGGTACATTTGGTCCTTTATTGCTTCTTCTTAGCGTCACAGTGTCCTGTTAAAACTGAAGAATATTGCAGTACCAATTGTTGGTATAGGGCAGCGGTTGGCCAACTTTGGAGGTCCCGATTTTGTGAACTACTTCTCCCTTAAATGCTCTTACAGCCGTCATGCTGGCATTGTATCAGGATATAGTCCACAACATCTGGAGTACCCAAGGTTGCCTATAGATGTTTGGGGGTTTTTTCCCTTGAAATTTATTACAAAGAAAACCGATAAAACGGAACTCATTTTGAGTTCGTCTTTTTCATTATTATTTTTTTCTTAATTGTAGAATGTATACAGTTGCTAAAAATGTTTTTTTTTGTTTGTTTTTTTTTTTCATAATCATATGCAACAGCTAAAGTCCATTACCTTTAAGATTAATACAGAAATAGCCTTCCCTATAAAGAGGTGATAAAAAAAAAAGCAAGTTTTGAAAATGGCAAATTAATTCTACATTTTTTTCCCTCCATTTTAATGCTGGTTTAAAAGAATCATTTGGATTGCTTAATAACTTCATCAAGTGTCATTTCTAAAAAATAAAATAAAAAAATGTGTGTGTGTGTATATATATATATATATATATATATATATATATATATATATATATATATATTTCATTCATTCCTTGTAGTCCACTTTAGACACGTTGTCCATTTCAAACGGGTACATCCTTCGAAATCAGTATTAAGAAATAAAAGTATATATAAAATATATTTTGTTCCTGTTTGTAAAATGAATTAGCAGTGCAATAAAACATTTCTCAATTCTGTTTTAACTCCATGCAAAAATATGCACATTTTTTTACATCATTGTTTTGATTCCCCTTGTATAAAAAGTGCTATTCCTTTGTCGACGTTTTTTTTTTTTGTTTTTTTTTTTTAAAGCCATTTTTAAAATGTAAAGATTGTGTTGGTTATTTTAGTGCTAGGTGTTTTTTATTTTATTTTTTGTTTTTTCTTTGTATGTTGCTGCTGGAAAAATGAACAGTTATGCATTTGTTTTTGGAGAAATTAAATAGGTTGAAGGTCAACATTTAACAGACTTGCGAGCTTGTCTAACAATATGACTTCAGTTTGTCCTCTTTTTTTTTTTTTATAGCTGGAGTTGAATTATTTTTTTGGAATGTCTATGTTCCTTTTTGTTTTTCTCCCCTTCTTCTGAAAGAACAGACTTACGGAGAATCTTGTTCTGTAAGAGATTGAGGCCGGACTCTTATTCCTTTTAAAGCGGACTATGAAAATTGTTTTGGAAGTATTATTGCCTTTTTTTTTCTAAACATTTATCATAATTTACCTATGTAATTTCATATTGTTTCTCTGTATGTATTGTTTTTGGTTTATTTATACACTACAGCAATGCAATGTGTGTTTAAAATATCAAAATCGGCAAATGTCTACAGTTTTACCTGTCTTGCATACACATGGCATGTATGTACAGTTCTTTAAAGCTTATGTAAATTTGTCCAGAGGCGCCAACTTTCCAAAATGAAATATATTTCATTAAAAACATGGACAGCAATATATGTTGGTATTTTCAACTATCTGCTCAAGATTGAGATAAATTGAACATTTCGTCTGCTGATTGGATTCCACGTTTACAGAAAGTTTTGGGGAGAAACCATGAACATGTTTTTTTATGTTTTGTTATTTTTTTAAGTTAAAATAAAGGTTTACATCAAACTTGCCTATTTGCGAAATGTGATTTTTTTTTTTCATTTAGGTTAATCATTTGCAGAATTGTGCAATGTTGCAAAAATAATCAAAGCACATGTACTACAAAATGTCACTTATAGAGGATCATTAAAAATGGTACTCTTAATCTTCATTATGACCGATGCATTGCTTATTTAAAGGCACCCTGCCACGACTTGACAAATAGAAGACAAACAGAAGAGCCTTTTCTACTGGAAAAAATATTTCTTCAGTAGGTTGGGAGAATGGGAACTGGTTCAGCTGGGTAATGAACTCCATGCTGCATGCCTGTAATGGTCTGCTGGCTGTTTTTTATTCAAGAAAAAGGAGCATATTTGCAAGTAAATAGAAGCCTCTGCCACATATACTCTGACATCATTAATGAAGTTGCAGTTCCGGGAGATCCAGTTTGGAGTGGACCTCAAAGGCCAACTATGTTGTTTTCACATGGTCTGCATATTCATTCATCTTAGTCAAGCAAATGCCGTGCTGAGATTTGCATTGTATAGGGGGGAAGAGTTCTGATTTCTGCCTAATAATTGATGTAATTGGGGTGTGATCACGCAGGCTACGGATCATCGTGTCCTGTCTGATGCTTTCAGCGTGTTGAGAGCGCAAACGTTGCAGAGGATGACCCATACAAATATGTGCTGGCAATCATTACTGTGAACTACAGATGGAAGTGCCTGTCAACTGGAGCATCTGATATCGGACAATGCTCCTTATGTGGCTTGCAACTGTTTAGGGACCACAAGTATCATAAATGTCCTGACTCATGTGGGGACCATAACAGCACCGATGTATTGCTCTTTTCCACTTCTGCCACTTTACCGTTTCCCATTACTGGTGAAGAATAGGGGGTTGCATGATCACACATACCTAGTGTGCTTTAAAACACACGATCACACGTACCCCTGGTGCTTTAAAACTAAAATGGGCTCATCCTATAAATTGTGTAAATTTGGCAAAACTTGGCAGTAGTAGCTCAATAGTATAGGTGTAACTAGAACACTAGGTGAGCAAGCCAATTAGTAATGCACCAATGAAAACTCCATAACCACCTTTTCAGCACAACCCACTTACATCCTAACAGGGACATAAAACTGAAGGATCTAAAACCTGGCGAATGTGGAACTCTGACTATATTCTGCTCTAATTGTCCGTACATTGAGTGACTCAAATCCACACTTTGTTTCTGCAAATATTAATATTATTTGCTGTTTTCTAAGATTGAAATAGTTTGATTCTTTGGTATGACAATAATACAATATAGACAGAAGAGCTGATATATATTTTTTTATTTTTAAAGTAACACTAAAGCGTTAGAAAAACAAATGTGTATTCTTAACGCTTTAGGGCTAAACGGTGACTAGGGCCCCGTTCCGCGAATAAATGGTAAACCATTTATTTGCTTACCTTTATCCAGCACCGGGCTCCCTCGGCACTGGTGACCTCTCCTCCATCAACATCAGCCAGAGGCGTGCGCAAGTTCAAACACGCTCAATGATTTCCTACGGGGATCTTTTTTGATGCTGGAGGTCCGATTTACTTCGTGTACATCGCGGAAGCGCCTTTAGTGGCTGTCAGGGAGACAGCCACTAGGGACTGGATTAACCCTACAGTGTAAACAGAAACTATGTTTTCAGCTGCAGGGTGAAATCTAGAGAGACCTGGCACCCAGACCACTTCATTGAGATAAAGTGGTCTGGGTGTTTATAGTGGTCCTTTAAATCCTTTGTTTTTTCATGGTGCATCGCATAGACAAGGTTAACATGCAACAAGTATGCTGTATGTAGATAAAAGGTTATACATAATCAGTGCTGATACAAGGTGCCTTTTTTTTTTTTATGGTAAAATAGCGTAAATCTTCAAACGTGGCCTAAGGGGGCTCAATTATATGGTGTGAGGCTCTCGGTCATCGACATATGATGGTTGCTCGAAGTGCCATGACTAGAGGGTGGTGGAGGGTCAGCATACGTATGATTTTGGTGAAATGTATGAAAACATCCGGTGTATGGAATGTAGATTGCCGAGAGGCATATATAATAGATTTGTAATGGTAAGAATCTGAGGTGTAGTTTAGAATCAAGCGACCAAACTAGTAATAGTAATGGCCCCTAACCTAGGGGACTGCGGTGAGGGGAGAGGGGGGGAAAGGTTACACTGAACATTGTTTAAATGCAGCGATAACCAACTAATGTAGAATTGTCTACAAAACATGCTTTAAAAGAACATATTTGCAGGTATTAATATATTGCCTAAGAAAAATCCAGTCCCACAACCTGGTGAGTTGGCATAGTAACCAAGCTTAGTCAGGTGTTTAAAGCCTGCAAGTCTTCGGTGCTCGGGCTAAATGTTGGGTCCTTGTTGCAACCTGCCAGTCCCAATGCCTTCAGGAAGGCCGTGCTCCCTCCATCGAGGTGAGTGTGTGGGTGGTTCCGTTATGGGTCACCACCGGGGTTCCAGGAACTCTCCAGCGGTAGACTAAGGCCGTGGTTCTTAGTTGAGAAATGACCTTCCCCAATGATTTGCGCAAAAGGAGTGTATTACTTGTGAGGTCTTGAAAAAATGTTGATTGCTCCAAAGACAGAGGTGTCTTGCCTCTCAATGCCATCATGATTTGGATATTGTCTTGATATGTTAAGCAGCAAAGGATATCGTCCTGGGTCACTCCAGGTGATAATTTGGCAGCTCTGTTTATGCAATATACCTCGTCAATAACCAATTTTTTGGCAGCCGTGTGGGGCAAGATAGTTACCATTAGACTCCAGATGTAGTGCAGGGGAGCTCTTAAGCTGATATATGAGCAGGAATGCTGCGGATCTTAATGTAATTTCAATGCGGTCTGTCTTCCAAGACTCTTAGTTGTGGGGACAAGGTCGACTGGTTAGTTTGGAGTTATAGCATTGTCTCTTTAATGTCAGTCCGGACATCGAGCATGTCCTCTTCCGAGGCCTGCACGTGATCAGTGATGGCCTGGATGTCCATTCTTAGGGGCGTTCGGTCAGACGCCCATAGTTTGTGGATGTCGGCAAGCAAGGATTTACAGGTTGTTTGGTAGTTGGACCAGACCCGTTGGAGGTCTCAAGATTGGATAAGACCTACCTGGTTGTTTAGTGCAGCTCTTGCTCCTTTTGCACTTGGGTGTTAGCACTCCGGCTCTCCTCGGGAGTCTGCTTTACTGCGCAGGCTTCTGCAGTATTCAGCTTCTGGGAGCGGCGACCCATAACGTGCATGAAGTTCAGAGGGGCCAATGATGCAGGAGGCACTGTTCTCGGCAGACCTCGTGTGGGACCTCCAGTACCGTGATTGTCGGCGTGAGGTGCACTTGAGTTGTGGCTTATATTGTTTTGCGGTTGAAAGAATGGAATCTATCGATGCAGTCCAGGTCCTTGAGACCAGCTGGAGGATTTTTAGAATAGGATGGGTCTTGGCAATTCCCCCCCCCTCCTCAGAACGACTGATATGCAACATCAGAAGACATACATTAAAATACCAGTTCCTTTGAAAAAGGAACTCTATAGGCACGCACACCACTTCATCTTAGTTAAGTGGTTTGGGTGCATGTTCCTGAAATACAAGTTGGTGTTCCTTTATTGTAGAGGTTCTAGGGCATATAGCCTGTCCCTGCAGGCTCAGCAGTGTATTTTTCTGAGAAAAGGCCAGTGTTTACATTTCTGCCTTTGACCACCACTAGACTTCCAGGGTTTGGTCCTGCAAAGATTGCAGGACCAACATGAAGTGTCTACATGTCCCGCGTGTAGATGTTGAACGATCCCTATAATGATACATTGACTCAATGCATCTCTGTAAGGAGCGGAGCATGCATGCACACTAGCCTTCCATTCCCTCCCTGTGGGAAAACTTTAGATTGCCTGAGAGCATCGTGATTGATTATCTCAGTCGGGGAGGTAAGGCTTCCTTTCTCTTACCTGCAGTGGAATACATTTCAAGCTCTTTTTCTCTCTCATTCAAATGCATCATGAAATTCAGAGGGCAGAGCTGGAGGAAGGAAAGGGGATTCCATTTGTGTATGCGGCAAGTCAGGGACACGTAAAATGTATTCACAGGTTCCATAGTGGTCTATTTGATATATAAGCTTTGCCAGTTCTTTTATTATTTTATAATTATTTTGTTGTGCATAGTACAAAAATGCTTACAGTGACACAACAGCTATTGCTAGCATTCCAACAGACATATAGAAACATTTGCTAGGCATGTGATAACATTGCACATTTTGTAATATAATGTAGAAGAAATAAGAAAGTGTGAGTCAGGACGGGAACTGAAAGGGTTAAATAAAGCTCGGGTCCTGACTGCTTTTCCAGGGATATACTGAGATAAACGAAGATAGAAAATGGATAACATGAGTGTTTTAACTATTCAAGATATGTCCCCTGGGAGGTCCCCTGACAAGGAAAGATAGTATGTAACCATTGTTAGATTTATAGATAATAAGGGAAGGAGTTAATTGACAGTAGGATTGTATGTCCCCAAATAGCTAGATAAAGCTAACAATTCCCCCCTCTGTCACCAATCTCAAATCCCTGGTCATTCTATGCCTACAATTGGCAGAACACAGTTCACGACCAGGCATATTGGGCTTCTGGGCAGATCGCAAATCAGGGACAGGACACCCTACTGCCCCTCAGACTTGCTGCAGGGACTTTGTGTGTGTCGACTCCAGCTTCCGTTCTGCTTTTTGTTTAGGTGCGCTCTGCTGCTTGCATTTATCACATTTTTGGGCCCTCACCACCGGTATGGTTGATGGTCCTCGCTGGGGATCTGCAAACTGTGTCTGTGGTCTTGAGGTTGCAGAGGAGCTTGGTGGGGTGGTCTGCCCTCCAGCTGCTGCCAACATTTTTCAAAGAGTCTATTCAGCTCGGACTCCAAATCCGACTTTACATCGCAGAAGGTAGGGGAGCGTGTAGTCATCGCCATTTTGCATGGGTCACAGTCCTTTTTGTCGGCTAGCAAGGCTCTGACCTTTGTGTTT